TTGTTTTACTTATCTATATAATTGTAGGTGGTGCTTTTAAGGTGCCCTGGAGAGTGTGTGACCATTAGTAGTAGCTACGAGTTAGGAGCAGGCACCTGTTTTGTTTGTATTGTGCACACATAACGGGTCCCAAATCCATGCTACATTCTAATTCTATATAGTATATACTGCATACCAATACTTACTGTTTCTAACACAGACTTTACTTGGATGGGCAGCCCAGGTATATTCACAGTCGCCAAAAGGTATTTGGACCTGAAGCGCAGGTCAAAATCTGTTCCCCCATCTTATATTATTTCTCCCCTGTTAAGGTGATACCTCCTGTAGTGCCCCCTCTGTGGTTACTGCTAGGGATAAGGTTTCCTGTAATCTTCCTGGAGCTGTTTGACCACCTCCCATAGTCTGAGTTTTTTCTTTTGTGCAGTGCATCACGGGAGAATGGTATCCATCAAATGCACACTAAGAAATGTACCTTATGTTGAGTAGTGAGTGTGAGTATACTGTCACTTTTCTGATGTTAACACACTTTACTAAACACCTCCTTAGAATTGGTTTGAATTATGGATTTGGGACATGTCATTTATCTTGCAAACACAATATTATTTGTGAATATGTTCATTCAAAGCAAAAGGAACACGTGTACCTATGGACCCCATCTTTTCAGCTATTGAAATGCACAGTTGGTAGTACGCCTGAAGAATGACAGACTGTCTTTTTTTCTTTCTTTTTTTTAAAAGAGGAAAATGTTGTAGATGACATTCCAGACAGCCCTCACAAGTCCTTCATGATGCAATACCTGAAAGACTGGCCTTACCCACACTTGACCCAGTACAGGGTGGGACAGGCCCTCAATGTGGAGTTAAATGGATCCCAGCAGAGGTGTGAGGTGCAGGTGGTCGACTGCAGCATAATGCAGGTCATTTTTCTGGTCAGTATCATTTTATACTGCTGTTGTTTAAACCACCAGTGTTATTTCAGGTTAGATTTCTGTGGTATAATGTTTTTTCCGTCACTCTCAGGAAAGTCAGCAGAAGGAGTGGATTCATCGAGGCTCCATGCGACTTGAACACATGGCTAGATTTTTGGAAATGAAAGCTGAAGAGCGCAACGGTGATTCTGACTAAAAGCCCACGGACACAGGAGGGAAAAAATAAAAGATATATCCATCATTATCACCCCGAAGTGATGTGCCATTGGGATCTCAGCCCAAAATAAGTTTTACAGTGAAGAGATGAGCACACATGAATGACTCAAGCCCGACGTTTGTTTCAATCTGATGTTCTTTGTTTTCTATTTTTCAGACTTAAAGCAGTTGAAGTTACTTGTTGGATTATTCTGATACACAATTAAGTTGCGCACCACTATAAAATAGTGAGCAGTTATCATTTTCAGTTTGTCTGAAAATGTGAATTTATCTTAAAGCAGCTTTTGACAGCATACTCAAGCGGCTGTAAGTTCAAACAACTTTGCATGTCGCAAACAAGAAAACTAGCTTCCTATTTTATTTGTCCTTTTTACAGGGTGACTGACCAAGTGCAGATTGAGGATTTACGTGATGCTTTTAGTGCAGACGCACTGTGAATTCAATACAAATGCAAAAATGAGAACATTTTGAAAAAGTGAGAGAAAGCGCTATATCATGTTTTGAGTTTTGCGAATGTGGTTGTTGATGAGTTTTGGGAAGCTGGAACGACCAAGTCGGACATCACTGTAAATGTTTTTTGCTTGATATCCTGCAGTTGTATGAGTTTATTTAATATGATCTATTTCATTGCATTACAGTCTCGCTGTTAATGCTTTTATCCAATGTAACTTAAAGTACATTTCACCATGCGGGTAGGAGAACAAAATCTGAAAGGTAAATGTGCATCACCTTCAACAAATATGCTCAAGTGCTACATTTAGAGACAATAGAAGATAAAGAAAAAGACTTTTCCGTCTGCGATGGAACGTGTCGAGTTCCTGCTGTCTTGATTGTGGAGTGAAGACAGCAGACACTTGTGACTTGAGCAGCAGTTGTGTTTAATCTTGTAAATTTAAAAAATCTGGGAACAAATTTTCCTGAAGAACTCAAACAAGTCATGGATTCTTTATTAATATGCACTTTAGAGTCAACAGCATTTTTACTCCATGTTGTTTCTCCCATCTAGCCAATGATCCGCATTCAGTTTGACCTCCATGTATGTAAATGCTTTGTATTGTCTGTCACTTTTTTGTTTCATTTTGTAAGTAAAAGGATCAATGCAGGATGACCACAGCTCCACCTGGCTTTATCTTTGCTCAGGTGCTGGAGGCATCAGTGAGCCTGAAGTGATGAGATTTCTGCACACTTAGCTCCATGCAGTGTTTGCTTCAGACGACGGCACTCAACAAGGAATATGAATTGAGGGTTATGCTGTCATGTCAGATGTTTCTTCATTTCTCATTTGGAATTTGGGGTCTCATCATAGTTCATAATAAAGTTCCCAGAATACCCCTTCATAACGCTTTGTTCTCAGATGCTTTTTTCCTAATAGATGTGGGGATAAGATTAAGATAAGAGGACAGACATGAGTGGAAGATGCAGCTTGGCTGGTTGGTGGAGACATACAACCCCAAGACAGTAATTCTAGTTTTTATATTCACTCCGTTCCACCCCTTCTCGGCTTCCATTTGTATGCCTGACAGTGCTCCAATAAGTACTTAAAAGGTGGTGCTTGTGTCACCAGGGTGTGTACAGGTGTGTTACATGCTGCCAGGGATTAGAATTGGATTAGTTATTTTTACCTGCCTGTATTACCCGACAAAGACGTGCAGAAGGTCTTAACTAACTGAAACTAGCAGGGAACGTAACTTTTTACATAATTATGTAACCACTGTTCTCTGCATTGCAACTACTTCCATCTATTTGTGGTACCTAGTCCATATTTATGAGGAAGACACTCAAATACGGCCGAGAGCACAGTATACTGCTCCAACCAAAACAAGTAAAACCGGTGTGTACTTCAAAGTGAATTCCTGCATGCAAGACAGACGAGAAAACACTCAGCTATATACACATTCATAGATGAGCAAATAACTATCACAGGAGTGGAGAGGACTAGCATGGCATTTATTGCACTTAAACACAGGAAGTAGTATTCTATATAAACAGAGTAAAGGAAAACGAGACTGACGTGTTGAAATGACAAACTTCTGAATTTATTAAGGCAGGACTTGTACTTTTGGTGGAGTTGGCCTATCTCCACATTATCTAAATATTTTTTCCACCACTGGTGTTGATTTAACTCTAATTTAAAGGTTGCAGCTTGTGACACTTACTGGATTTATTCCAGGTGTATCCAGTGAACTGAAAATTTCATACAGTTTTATATGATACATATTGATATTTGGCTATTTATTTTTAACCATTATCTGTATTTTTTTGTGTATAGAGTTTAGTGCAGGGGTGTCAAACTTACGGCCCAGGGCCCAGAACTGGCCCACCAAAGGGTCCAATCCGGCCCACTAGATGACTTTGCACACCTGATATTGATGTACCTGTGAAGGCTAAGAGGTGCCAGGTTTAAAAAGTGAGTAGGTACTTTATGTAAAATGCTGCCTCAGAGGCTTCTCCACCCTGACCACAGTACAGCTCTCTGAAATAACAATGACTACTTACTGTGGTCGTACTTAAAGATACTGAACATCGTGCAAAATATTATCCACCAGCAGCTTTGGTACAAAAGAATCTGTATCAGACTTCTATCCTAAAACTGGCTGCTGTTTTTGGACTTCAGCTCCGCATTTAATACAATCATCCCCAGCAGAATGGAGACCAAGCTGCTGGACCTGGGTGTGAACCAGCACATGCAGGTGCAGACTTTTAAGACCCACCCACCCTTCCTCCCTGACACTCAACACTGGGGCTCCGCAGGGTTGTGTGCTGAGTCCTCTTCTGATTGCCCTCTATGCACATTTAGCCCAGAACATCATTGGTACACAATTACCAGCACTTGAGGATTTGTACAAAAGCCACTGTCTCCGTAGGGCCACAAACATAATTAAGGACTCCTCCCTACCAGGACATGAACATTTCACACTGCTACCCTCTGGAAGGCGATACAGGTCTATGAGATCTCGCACTTCCAGACTCAACAGTTTTTATCCAAGTGCTATTAAGATAATTAATTAATATTAATTCTGTATAGGCCTACATCAATATATACTTGGCTGGGCCAGCTGTGCAATTCAGTCTGTACTGCTGCACTGATTTATTTTATCTATTTATTTATTACAGAATTATGTATTCTCCTTTTTTACCCATTGTGTATTTTATGTGTCTCACTGTTGCTGGTTATTGTTTTTTGTTTATTGTGTTTTGCTGTTTTTATGTGTAATAGCCCAGAGATCACAAAATTTCGTTGTACTGCTCTGCAGTGACAATAAAGGCATTGAATTCAATTGAAGTCAATTGAACTGAATTGAATTGAATATAATGGTGGAACCCTGCTGCTGAGGCAATGACAAAACTGTACAAGACTGTACAAGACTGTAAATGCTTTGTAAGACAAGGGATGACTTAATCCTGCTTCTTCCATAGCTTCCACTTTAATGGAAAATTATTTTTTTTAAATATACATGTAATGAAAGTGAGTAGTAGACTGACTGAATGTTGAAAAACTGAGACATACATACACAATTTGCACATTTTTTTCTGAGGATATCGCGGGCTGATCATCATCTGCTGTGTACACAGATGAATGTTGTCATAATTAACTTCTTTACACTAAAAGGAAGACACTTAAAGATCTTGTTATATATAGGTTATTATGTAATGTTTTACTGGTCCGGCCCACTGGAGATCAAACTGGGCTGTGTGTGGCCCCTGACCTAAAATGAGTTTGACACCCCTGGTTTAGTGAGAAAAACAATGAAGAGGCTTGTAGGTCGCTTGCACGGACACAGGGGGCAGCAGTGAGCTCACGGCTTGGCGCAGCAGCATGAGGCGAAGAAGATGACAGATGACAGTTGACAGTGAACTCGTCACAGTACGTACAACTGAAGTCCGCGAGGGTGGAAGTGTGGATTCATTCAGCCAAAGGTGAAATTTGTTCCTCATTGTAAGTATTTGCACACAAATAATTCACTTTCACCAGAGTTAGAATAGTTTGAAACCACTCTTACTTAGCAGTTAGCATAGCTTAGCATAAAGACTTAATACCGACTAACGGTTCCGCTGTTTCTCTCAGTGGTGTTTAAGAATTAAGGAGCTGCCAACCCTTCAGAGCCTCTCCTGCGCTACACCTGTGTCACGTGATTTGAACCTTTGTGTGTGTTGCAGTGATAATGGAGGGGGAAGAGATGGAGATGAGCAAAGAGGAGCTCCAGAGGTGGCTCAGACAGAGGATAAAGAAGAACGAGCTGATCACCTCAGATGTGCTAGAGAAATGCAAACTGCTACAATCTGTTTTGGAAAGGAGGGAGAGACAGGCTGCCCTCCTCCTGAAGCTCTGCAAGTGAGTGTTATATCCTATGCGCCTGTTTCCACTTCTTGTAAAAGCCCTTTGGACCTTTAAGAGATACTTTAGGGATACCTAGATCACACTGCTTACCTACCACAGATTTTCTCTGGCTCTGGGGCTTTTCCTCGAACTACAGATTTATTTACCTCTGCATTTTTGTACACCAGCCACCACAGACTAAAAGACTATGGAAGCGGGAGAGAGAGAAAACTGCCTTACTCTCTCTCTCTCTCTCTCTCTCACTCTCACATTTTAGTGCACTGTTTGGCTGTTGAAGGAGAATTTGTGAACAGGAAGTGGGCGTCATACTGTGTCCTGTATTGTAAAATTGGAGGCCAAAACACTGAGATCAAACAGTTAGACAAGCTTGCATAATATCACCCACTAGCGGGAGCATTTATTGATCCAGTGCAGGACAGTGCATTCTGGTAGTTGTAGGTTGTCCACCTCTTGAACAAAAGCGAATACCTTTTCCTCTCGTTTCCACTGGTCATGTTGCACCAATTTCCAAAGTATGAGTGTCTTGCAACTGCACAGACAGTGCAGTTCTCATTTATGTTGTTTATTGCTTGCTCTCAGTGTAGACATCTGGAAATAGCAAACTGAAAGTTAAGAACATCTGATAAGACAGTCGGAGCAATACTGAGACAACTGAACCCAAATAAGAAAAAGTAAAACTCAGTATTGGTCCCTGCTGTGTACTCAAAGTACAATTGTTTGTCTTTCTCAATGTTCTTTGCTTGATTCATGTTGTCTTTGTTGTTTTTTGTGTTTCAGGTCAGTGTCAGCATGTGAATCGGTTGTGAAGACTCTATACTCGTTGCTGGGGTGGGAATACAAAGAGACGGATTCCCATAATGAAGAAAATACATCAGATTGTGGTAAGATGCAAATCGTTCGGTTAACGGCAAAAAATGCACTCTTGGTTTGTCTGTGTCAGTTGTTAATTGCTCAGTCGTCGTCAAACAAGCAAAGTGGCTCATTTTAGATTGTTTGTCCCGTTGTAGGAAATACAGTCCCCAACTCTCCAAGTCCTCCTGACCCTACTCCTAAACTACAGGACAGTGAGAAACTACATGGAGATGAACGGAAAAAATTCTGTACTCCTGAACTACAGGGCAGTGAGAACCTATGTGAAGATAATGGCAAAAAAATCTCTATCTGTCTCTTTCGAAAGAGAAAACCAGTGGTGGCCTTGACCAGACTTTCTGAAAGTGAGATCCAGTCTTTACTTCATCCAGCGCCCCAGAGTAGAGATGGTGAAGATGAATCCTTACACAATTCGGATTCTGATATGCAGTGGGAACCAGGAGATGACTCGAGTGATTCTGATTATTCCATCTCAAGTACTAACAGCCGGCCAAGCAAGAGAAGAAAAATGGATCAAAAGAATAAAAAACTTGTCAAGACTCATGCATCACCTGAAGCCAGTACAAATAGCAATGCTAAGAGCAACAAAACGAAAACATCAGCACACCAAGCAAGTGCCAGTACTGATGCTAAGGTCAACGTGAAGAAAACATCTCCACCCCAAGAAAGTGCCAGTACAAATGCTAATGTCAGTGTAACAAAAACCTCAACACCGCCAGCAAACAGCAAAGGTAATGGCTAAAAATTACAAAACACTCCAACCAAACTGTTTTGTTGCATGAATTCCCTTATTTCTGGTCCTAAAATTTACATCTCATTGCTTTCATATCACTCTTGATATGCAAAATATGAAAAAGAAATGTAATTTTGTCACCATAGCTTAAAGTTTATGTGGTCATTTACATGTCTTTCAACTGTCGCAAAGTGCTTTTGCATGACTTTGGGAGGACACTGATATTTTCCTACCAAATAAATTACAGTATTGTAGTGAATAAGATATAGGAACACTTCAACAATGAACATTTTGCTGTTCCATGTTTTGTAACCTGAACTGGGAGACAGTTCCATCCTATTGGACCAGATATGATGAAATGAATTAACAAGGCACACCATGACAGTTTCTTTGCGTTTAATGTGTCTGGCTTGGTGGATATTGAAACATCACTTCATCGGTTTGATGTTAACACACTGTATTCCTTTTCCACTGACAGAAGTATACCCTGTCATAGTATCTACTCTTTGCCAGTCCTCTGATGGAGATACCAAGACCCCTCCCAAAGGGCCACTAGGAGAGCTCGTTGTGAACATGAATGTTATGGCCAGAAAGAGCCCCATGAGCTGGAGGCCAGGGAAAATCGTGGAAATAATAACAATGGGTAAGAAAAAAAAGCTCTGTCGACACAAAACAGAATACAATGCAACAAATTCATCTTCCACTTTACAGGTATTAGTCTGTAGCTGTAGTTGGTGACTTTTATAAAAACCGACTTTGCTGAAGCTGTCACAATATTCACACAGCCCTGAATGAGACAGATAATCTGTGATAAAAATCATATTCCTCAGCCTTTTTCTATTGCCTTGTAGCGCTTCTAATGGCCTTACTGTATGTGAACAACAACAACCAATCAGAGCATGTCAATCACTGCTTGTGAACTGCCGTCAAACTGTCACACTAGGCAGCGCTGATCAAATATGAATCAAAATTCTGTCACTGCATTGCCTATTTCTCGCCTCAGATGTTTTCAGAACATATTTTAGTGTACTGTTTAGCTGTAAAAATGAGGAAGTGGGCACGCTGGTGGGCGGCGCTTTGTTTTTCACTCAACTGTTTTCAACGTGGCTGCCACGTGGCAAACATTTTACAAACTCATTTTACATCTAAACAGTACACTAATATATGTTTGACAGCTGCGTCAGAGACTCCTCGCCTCTGATTGGTTGTTTTTGGTGCGCTGCAGTCAATTCTAGTGATTGCCATTAAAGGCAGTAGGAAGACGAGGAGGTGCATGATTTTTTTTTTTTTTTTGCAGATTATCTGTCTCGTGTACTTCTTTCAGAATATAGAGACAGTTTCAGCAAATATGACAAAGTTATTGTCATGACAGTTACCAGCTGTGGCTTTAAGAGGCTTTTATTATCCAGTTGTCCCCCAGCTAGTAAGAACATAGGTTTGTCAAAGTAGTCAAGAGTGTTTATGTTACAAGTGTTTGTATGTAGTATCAATTAAAAACACTTCATACTATAACTAAGAACTTTTCACCGAGAACAAACATCAAGGATTTCTGGTAGAATGAAACTGATCACACACATGACAAAACAACAGTGAAATAATATACAGTAAGATGTGTAAAAACTCCAAGAGCAGTGTCATACAAGCTTGAATTATCCAGTCCCATGTTTAGTGGATATCCACATGTGTATGTATTAACTAAAATACTGCAAAATAATGTTTCTGGTAACTGGTTCATTGGGTAACTAGGACTCTAGCAGAGCAAACAGACTGTGGTCAGTGACAGTGTCATTAAATGGGCAAGCTTTGTCCCTGTACCAAGCCAGTCAATCTGCTTATGAACATGGGAACACTGTAGACAGCAAACCTGTGGAAAATGATTTAAGACTCCCAGTATAGATGTAAAACATGAGCCTGGTAAGAGCATCCTGATAACGTGAGCTCAACACTCTGTTTTGCTCTCTGGATCAGTCTGGACTTGCTGCAGCCCCAAACACTTGAAGTGGGCAAGAATACTCACCTTGACAGGCAAACTCCTTCAGCCAGTCAGCGCAACAAATCTTTGGGAAACATCATCATTACTAACAGAACCAGTTGATGAATCAAGCTTTTGCCAAATCCAGTTGGAAGAACAGTGAGAATGCATTTTCCTCTGAGAAGATCGTCAAGTGCATACTCTTGTTCTTGTTTAATTGTTGTTATTGACTGAATTTCTGTAATAACTTTACTTATTGTTGTGTTTACTTACATTAGAGTTAGCACTTGTTTCCTCAGGAGCCGCCATTACTGTTCTGCAAGCTGCAGCCTGCATTTTATGTCACTGACTACAACACAGGCCCTGATTGACTGCTTACATTGTTGACTTCGTTACGGATCCCTGATTGGCCCAGATTTGGTTTTAATTTCTGGAAAGTGTTTGGGGCGGCAGCAGGACCAGACTGATACAGAGAGTGAAACAAAATGTTGAGCTCACAGGATGGTCTTACCAGGCTAGTAAAACACAAGATGTTAACATTATTCTCCTAGGATTTAGTTGAAGGCCCATGATGTCTGGCCCTTTCATCACCTGAATTACTAACTTTCTCAAAATTCTTGAGTGTCGACCAAGTTTGTGCATCATCATTTTTCTTTTGCAGAGGGTTTCAGCACAACAGCAAGGATGAGGAGTTAGTTCATGAAATGTGGCTACCACAAATGACTGATGCCAAGATATTAAGTTTGTTTAAAGAAGACCTTAATTATTAGAAGTGCTTTTTTTCTTTTTTGCAGAAGATGGTAGGTTGAAATACAAGATCAATTTTGAGGAGAAGGGGAAGAGCCGCGTCTCTGGTCACCACATTGCCTTTGACTACATGCCAAATGTGGATCAGCTGTTTGTCGGCGCTCGTGTGGTGGTCAAGCGTAAAGTTGAGGAGCGCCACTTCAGCCCTGGTATCATGGCAGAGCTCCCCAGTAGAAAAAACCGTATGAGGTTTGTGTGTAATGGATACATTTTAAGATAAAGTCAGATTTAAATGTTGTTAAATGTCAGATGCTTTAGCCCAAGTATGGTTTGATAAGAAAACATGTTTTCATTTTCCAGGTTCCTGGTCTTTACTGATGATCACAAACCGCTCTATGTTGGCTTACCTCTACTTCGCCTTGTGAGCAGACCACGTAAGTTTTGGTGTTTTCATTCATGTTTTCAAGATTTATTAGAGTGTCTGCAAAGAGTTATCATCACAGTCTATGAGTCAGATTCACCCCCACTCCTCCACAGCTCCACCCTCTCGTTAAAATATGGTCATTTCTGGCTCCAAAAAACCAAGATGGCGACAGCAGAAAAACTCAAGACTTAACGGGAGTCCGCAAACCAATGGGTGATGTCACAGTAGCTATGTCCATTATTTTATACAGTCAGATAGCATGTGAGGGGAGCATGAGTGTGCAGAAGGATTTTGCTGGAGCGCAGAGCAGTTTCTTAAAAAAGGTGGAGGGTCCCCTAATCTCCCGCTCCAGCCCACTCTAATTTCGCTGTGGTACCGCTCACATAATGAGTTCAAAGCATGCTTGACCCAGAATGCATCAGTGTATTGCGTGTGCACCCACACTATTTTCTGTAAAAAATTGCCTGCTGTGATCTCCAAAAGGGAGTTTACAAAGTACTTTCAAAAGGAAATTGATCAAGTGGAAAGCAGATTGAGCAGAGCGACTTTAAACACATCAATCAATCAATTGCTTTATTTGTCCCCAGTGGGGCAATTAGTTTCACAGCAAGTGGGAGCAGCACAAAGTACAAATATACACAAATACACACAGCATAATAAACACATTGTGGACAAGCCTAATAAATACTCACTCCTACTCAAGTTAAAAAAGATTAAGATAGTCCACACTAATGAATAAGCTACCTTTTCCTCCCGGGGTATAGAAGAGAGACAGTGGAAGGAACAAAGGAGTGCTTGTATCTGTTCGTTTTAGCAAGTGGGAGTCTGAGCAGTGAACCTGATGGTAAAAACTGAAACTGTTGGTGTAGAGTATGAGAGCAGTCGGACAAGATGGAGTTTGCTTTCTTAATCAACTGTATGTTGTAAAGGTCCTGTAAAGTTTCTTGTGCAGACCCGGTGATTTTACTACAAACACTAACAACCTTGTTTAGTAGATTTCTCTCTTTTACCCTCAAGGATTGAAACCAACAGATAAAAGAAAACGTGATCACAGACTCAATAAAAGAACGATAAAACATAGTCATCAGGGTAGAGTCAACCTGGAATTTAGCAAGTTTTCTAAGACAAAAAAGACGCTGCTGACTTTTTTTGTAAATCGAGTCCGTATTTTTCTCGAATGTCAGCTTGTTAAGAATAGTGCCTAAGTACTTATAGGACTCTACAATTTCAACTGCCTGACTATCAATCACTGTAAAGTCAGGAGATGAGGGCTGCACACATCTAAAGTCAACACACATGTCCTTTGTCTTCAAAACATTCAAAGATAAAAAAGATTCCTGACACCATTTTAAGAAATAAGTTATTCAGCAGGCTCACTATGACCATGTCGTCTGTGAACTTCAATATATGGCGGTTTTCAAAGGTGCTACAACAGTCATTTGCGTACAGTATGTACAGCAGAGGAGAGAGGATGCATCCTTGAGGTGAGCCAGTAGATGATACAGATAGATCAGAGAGTTGACCATTAACTCTGACTCTTTGTGTTCTGCAAGTCAGAAAATCCAAGATCCAGCCAACAATACTGCCTTCCAGACCAAAGTTGTTCATCAGTCTCTGGATCAGTAGATGAGGCTGAATAGTATTGAAGGCGGATTAAAAGTCAACAAACATCAATCTAACATGATTGTTAGAGCTGTCATGGTGCTTGTAGATGTGATTTAACAAAGTTATGGTGGCGTCCTGGACCCCTCTCTTGGACCTGTACGCAAACTGCAATGGGTCAATCAAGTGTTCATTAATTTTCAGTAGTTCAGTTTTGATCAGTTTTTCAGATGACTTCATAACTAATGAGGTCAGGGCTATGGGTCTGAAGTCATTTAAAGATTTGGGATGTTTAGACTTGGCAGCAGGAACTATAGTTGAGTGTTTCAACAGATTAGGAACCTTCTGCTGAGACCAGGATAAATCAAAAATGTAATTAAAATGGGGCCTAGTTGTTCAGCAGAGTTAGAGAGTAGTCGACTACTGATATTATCAGGACCAACACTTGTTCTTCTTTTACAGTGTTTAAAAGTTTTAACAACAGAATGTGAAAGGAGGGGAAGCTTGTTGATTTGGTTCCAGTGTAGTGTTTTTCAGCATCATTATTTCATTAATAAAATCATGCACATCAAATCTGGAGTAGAATTTGTTTAGCTCTTGTGCCAGAGCCAGATCAGAGGTGAACCCATCTAATGAGACCCTTTTCTTCACATTGTCAGTCAGACCAACCATAGACCTAATACTGTCCCATGCTGAGCCCAGATTATTATTGCTAAGCTTATCGTCAAGTTTTAGTTTATAAGATAATTTAGCTCTCCTAATTTCCCGTTTGATTTCCTTTTGTACATACAAAACTTCACTTAAATTATCCTGTTTAAAAGCCTGTTTCTTTTTATTTAGTAACATTTAGGTGTCTGCTCACCCAAGGTTTGCTATTGGGATAGGTTTTAACAGTCTTTACAGAGGAGTGGAGGGAACCAACAGTCCCTTGAGTGAGGGGTGAAATTCTTGCCGCTCCACTCTGATCACACATTCTGGCTCAGGTCTAGAAAAGCAGTGTGGCTCAACTCCTTTGAAGTGTCCCAGTAGGTTGTGACAGTTTGACGATGAGTCGGCATGTAATATAATACCAGGACCACGAAACTGAAGCTGCTAAATGGAATTCAGCCATCATTAATATTATTGTTTGACTAGCCTATTATAGAAATGGCAGATGACGCTGAATGGAGTCAGAACTACAATTTGTTGCACCTGTCAAACAGTTGTCCACCTTCTACTCTACCGCCAGTAAGCAGAATGACCAACTTTGGGTTTTTTTTCCCCCCTGTGACAGTGGAGGACCCTTTGGATGATATTCCAGATGGCAACCACAAGGATTTCATGAGGCGGTATATGGAGGCTTGGCCTTACCCACCTCTGACCCAGTACAGGGTTGGACAGACAGTCAATGCAGAGCTCGATGGAGTCCTACAGAGGTGTGAGGTGCTGGTAGTCGACTGCAGCTTGATGGAGATTCTTGTTGCGGTCAGTATCTGTGAACATCATTCTTTGAACTATTGTAGCTGGTTCTTGGTGTATTTTTCCCTGTTATGTTTATTTAGATTCCAGGACTCATAGTAGTTTGTGCTTTATCAATCTTAGGCAGATCAACATAAGGAGTGGATCTACCGAGGATCCACATGCTTGCAACACATATTTAATATGAACAAGATTTTGGAGGTGAAAAAGGGGGAGAAGCAGAAGAATAAATCTCTCACAGTCAAAGGTAAATTAAATTCTTAAACTAATAAAATCATCTTTTGGGTTATTCAGAACATCAAATTTATCTCTTGTGTATTTCCCTATGTTGTATACTTCAGAATCATCCAAATCGGCATGCTGATGGGACCGTGAATGTGTAACGAGAACTGGTGCTGGTTGCTCTTATAATTTTTTTTTATTTTTATTTTTTAATATACTTTATTAATCCCCCTGAGGGGAAATTCAATTTTTTTCACTTTTACTAATAACCAATATGGCTGTTTTTACAAGTTCCAGAGGGGGAGCAAGATTACACTGGCTCATTACTTCTTCCTGTGGTCACTACTGCTGCTGTTCAGATCAGACATGCTTGATATTAGTGACAGGCATCAGATCCTGTAACTGTGGAGCATTTGACTGTGGCCATGAAGCCAAAAATGGCCTCACAGTTCAGTGTAGTTATAGTATGTTCTGCTTAAGATTTTATCTCCGTGGAGTGACTGAAAACTATTAAACTGTCTCGAAACAGTAAGATAATGCATTTTTGTTTTACAAATGTATCTGTATCATATTTTTTGTGTTCTTGAATAAAAATGTCTTATTGTCTTAAGATGTTCTAAGCTTATTTGAACTTTTTGAAAAAGCAGCATCCACTCTAAATGCACATAAACCAAAAACTGCGAGCTATGGAAGCCCATTTCTACAGGTGGTGACAAGATAGTGTTTCACATGTTACAAGTCAGTCTTAAGTCCCAAGTCAAAACAGAGTCAAGTTGCAAGTCAAGACTGTAACTTTGAATTTCAAATCCCAATGAAGTCATAAAGGGCTCTTCACCAAATGTAATGCAATTTTTAACATCAGAGTACTAATAGATTTAATTAACAAAATCATGAATGCTTGTTAAAATTTGTATTCATTAGTCAAAAGAGTTGTTGCATCTCTGTCTGTAACTTTTGACCCGCTTATTTTGCATTTGATAATTCATTTTTTGTTGACCACCACATAGTATTTGCGCATAAAAAAATTCTTTGGTGCCCATTGACGTAATGTTAGTTCTTACTGTTCTCTCCCGCAACTTGACTGGAAGCTGTCATGCTAGTTCAGAGTTTATCATTTAGAGGATTAAGTGTTAATATTAGTTGATTCAGAAAATAAAGGGAAATTTATGATTTGTGGCACACATTAAATAACATGCTTATTAGTCTTTGGACTTGGGGGGAAGGTATCAAGTATTTTAAAGTCAAATGGCCAAAAGTCCAGTGGTGTAGTGGAGGGTCTGTGTAGGTATGCAGGGTATCACCACCTCTTTTCCTGGCTGTTTACAGTATACCCACCTATCAGACAAAACTCCATTGTGATATATAGGAGAGTATACCTAATTCCTCCTCAGTAACCTACCCAGGGGCGTAAACATAGAGTGCAGGCAGTGCAGTTGCACTGGGGCCTGTGGGGTGAAGGGGCCTGCAGAGAGAGCAGGCTCTTGTAAGTGATTCAGATTGTCACTTTGAACACATATCTGTGCTCAAAGAGGGATGATTAAACAAGAATGTTCCCAATTTAAAAATGTGCCATTTGAGATAT